GTGGGAGCAAGGGGAGGGGCGGGGTATTACGTATCCACGGAGGAAAGAGGTTGGCGACTCCAGCAGCTCCGCGGGCGCGGGCGCGGGCCACGGCTCCAGCAGGCTCTTGTCCAGAATATGTGGTGCTGGTGCGTAATCGCAGATACTGGGCCACCGCTGGGCGCCGGGGGCGGCCGGGGGGCGGGGGGTCAGCGTGGGACCGCGCACCCGCGCACTCGCAGCCACCGCACCCGAGCTCCGGCACTGGAGCTGGAGAAGCTCTGCTCTGAGCAAGCTTGCAGCATGCTGCTTATTGTGGCTGGCTGCGGTCGTGGTGGTGGGGTTGGTGTGGGCGCGGCAACGATGGCGTGGTACCCGGTCAGAAGCATCCTGGGGACCCTCCGTCCTGGATCACCATCACGATGATTCCATAGGGCGTCGGCGGGGGGAAAGGGGGGGCGGAGGCTTCCCTGCTGCTGACCTTTCAGGCCGAGTGCCGCCGCCCCACCCTTGGCCGGGGCCCAGACCCGCCACCACCACCTACATGCTTGCTTCCCTGTGAGAGTATTTGCATGGACGCGGGCGACCACGTCGCCCCCTCCCTCTGCAGGTCGTCCTGGTCCGGAGGAAGGGGGGAGGACGGGGTGTGTTTCCTAACACACAGAGGGGGGCGTGGCGGCGGGTGAGGTAAGGCAGGGCGGCGCAGAACCTCCGGAGCGGACCACAGGCTCCAGCTCACTTTGCCCAGCAGTCGCCTGGTATCCGGGGCCCAACACCAACATCCTCCTACTGCCAGAGGGTAGTGACAAGCGACAAGTGCAAAACCAACGTCCTCGAGTACGTGTTAAACTAATCCAGTGTGTTACTTTTTGCTATGGACAAATCATGTGTGCGGAATTTTTGTTCGTTTTGACCGCGAGCAGTCGAATGTGAAGGCAGTGCGTGTGTGTGGTACTTCCCCCGCCCCGCCCAAGTGCGCCGGTAGGTCAGGTAAGTCTGCACCGTATGAGCATGCGACCGCCACGGGGCGTCGCGTCACTAGAGACCCGGGCCGCGTAAAGGTGGCAAGGCAGCAGAGTCAGATTAAAGCCATATGGTCGGAGGTTTCCCCATTACGCGCGAGAATGGCACTCGAGTCGTGTTATCGCAGCTGAGTAGCTCGCGGTGAGGCGGCGCGGTGCCGCGTGGCGGTCTAGTCGGTAGCAGACCTGCCCCCCTGCCCCACCCCGCCCAGCCGGCTCACCACATGAACCATATTCTCTGAAACTCTGACTATACGGCTCCAAATCCAGTTTCAGCCCCAAACGGCGTCGAGTTGAAATAAAGTCGTCGCACCCTTGACACGTTGAGAGCGGTATGACCACTATATGGTCACGCTCGCGCACATGCAATGCCCTGCACGCAATGTGTATATTAAACATGCCTGTGTCCTGTGCTCTCATTGGTCTCAAAAGTGTCCACCCTGTTCGCCAGGATGGCGCCGCTGCTGATGGCCGCCGTCGCGGTGCTCACGGCCGCCGCCCTGGTGGCGCCCGTCGGCGGGGACCCGCTCGTGTTCGAGGACAACGGGCGGAGGGTGGAGCCCGCAGGTGACGACGCTCGTCGTGCTGGACGAGCGGTGTGCAATAAGTATGACGAGGAGGGAGTGGCAAACTGACGCCGACATGTCTTTTCGGTCTGGGGCAACAGGAGGTCGCGCCCCCGCCGACCTGGCGCGCCCGGCCCAGCAGCTGCCGCCCGCCTACAACACCGTCACGCCGCTGCCGCCACCCGCCACGGACACCGACGGGCGGGGCCTGCACAAGAAGAAGAAAAAGAAGAAGAAGGTCATCTGCGGCATCGCGAACCTGATCGCCGGACGCGACGCGGCCGGCGGGGCCCAGGACGCGGCCGCCGCGCACCGCTCGGCCCGCGCCGTCCCCGGCGAGGGCAGCCCGGGTCAGCAGGGGCTGTACCCGCCCCAGGGCGACGGGCGCAGCTACGGCTCGGGGCTCGGCGTCGCCGGCTTCCTGCTCGGCACCTTCGTGGGCTCCAAGCTCGGCTACGGCTACGCGCAGCACGGCCAGCAGTACCCGCAGGTGTCGCACCCGCAGGTGCCCCAGGCGCCGCACCCGCCCACGCAGACCCAGACGCAGGTGCAGGGCCCGCTGCAGCCCTTCATCCCGGCCGTGCCCGTCATCCCCGTGCGCCCGGTGGTCCCGGTCGACCCGGCCCCCGTCCACGAGGACTACGACGACACGGAACAGGACGACGAGGGCCTGCTGGGCGGCATCGCGGCCTACAGCGGCGGCGGCTCCAGCCTGTGCGACCAGCTCCAGAACCGGCCCGAGCCCGGGCCCCTGGACTCGCACTTCCCGCTGCTCGCCGGCATCCTCAACGGCGGGGGCGGCCAGCAGCAGAGGCCCTACCGGCCGCCGCCGCGCCCGCAGTACTACGGCCCCGCCGCCTACCACCGCCCGCCGCAGGGCCTGGGCCAGGGCGGCCTGCTGTACTCGTACGTCAAGCCCTGGACGGACCTCTTCTTCAAGAGGAGGTGATCGGAGGGCGAGTCGCGTGCGAGTGGTGGTGCGTCGCGGACCTTTCACGCCGGAAGAAGCCCAGCCCCCCCCCCCTCCCTTTTTGGAGTTTGCCAAACAGTTCAAAAAGAAATTAAGAACACATTTTGTTATTTTTATTTTTAATGCACGAGCAGTGTTTTATGGGCAGCTTGGTGAGGTCAGGTGATGCGGGGCGAGCGCGCGGGCGGGTCCGGCCAAGCACCCGGCCCAGTCGCGGTTGCACACCGTGCGCCTCCGCCTCCTACGCCCAGCGGCCGCCCGCCCAGCCCCGCCACGCCCCGCCTCACCGAAAAATGCTGGCACGGCGTCGCTTTTGCTTGCCTCACCGCTTGGATCGGTCAGGGATTTTGCAAAAGCAAAAGTGATCGCCGAGACAACGGCGCCGGCCGCGCGCCGGTCTGGTCTCTGGACAACAAACGGAGACGCTCAGCCAGTGTGGGAGTGCGTCGCACCAGCATTTCGATCCTACTCACATCTCGCCCGCAAAAGTTTTA